GCCATGCGTAAACGTCACAAGATTATAACAATCGGTACGTGTTAAGGGATTATGACGCAAGCAGTCCAGACAAAATAATTATGTCATCTCAAGCGTTTCAGACACAAAGGACAAAGAGGACCAGTGCTGTACCGGAGATGACTAGTGGCTGTACCAACAACGCCCCAGGGTAACAATGGTTTGACAAGAATGTTAACCAATCTGGACGCTTAGAGACAGCTACCGGCTGACTGCAAGATTTGTTAGCCAAGCACATAATTATTTTACACAATTATTTACACAAAGGCTTTAAAAGTTTAACATGTTCAGCAAAAAAAATTTTTTTTTAAATGTATAACGAGAGCATTTTCAGCATATCAGTTATAGATCTAGGTCTCATACTACAAATAGGTTTGAAATAAATATAACCCATTAAAGTTACGAGATGGTTTTAGAAACGGTCTTATTTTTTCGTTGAAAGTTCATCTAGGTCGTGATTTGAAAATTGATTCGGTCCAAATCATTAAGAAAACAAAACAGGGCAGCGTCTAGTCTGTAAATCGGCCAACGTCTAAGAGTTAAAGTACCTTCAAAGTTAGCAGATTATAAGTTTGGTCGTTCACAAAGGATCCTGGGTCATTTTGGTAACTAACCCCGTGTGTACCCCCCCCCCCCCCCCCACACACACACACACACTTTGCACCCCTGTCCGTCTTGTGCGACTCTCATGAACAAAGAATCTGCCTTATCGGCCAACGAATAAGAGATCCACACGTGTTTGATACAATCATACAGAAATCGTAACAGAGTTATTATTATTATTATTATTATTATTATTATTATTATTATTATTATTATTATTATTATTATTATTATTATTATTGTTATTATTATTATTATTATTATTATTATTATTATTATTATTATTATTGTAGTAGTAGTAGTAGTAGTAGTAGTAGTAGTAGTAGTAGTAGTAGTAGTAGTAGTAGTAGTAGTAGTAGTAGTAGTAGTAGTAGTAGTAGTAGTAGTAGTAGTAGTAGTAGTAGTAGTAGTAGTAGTATTGTTGTTATTGTTGTTATAACTGTTATTTTTTATTATTATTATGCTGTTATTATTGCTATTATTATTGTTATTTTCTAATACTGGTAGTAGATCTATCTGCAATTTATTTTATTTTTTATTATTTAAGAATTGGTCGCCCTTTGCTTATTTTCCCCACCAGCATGGCCAATCAGCAACACGTGTCCACGACGTCACCACTACAACAGCGAGCGGACTGGTCATCCCCCCAGGCATTCCAACCCTCCATGCGCCAGCGAGCGTTGTCACATGACGGCTTGGAGCTTAAATCTCAAATCTTTTGTTCAATAACACCAAAAAAGGAAGCGACTCCGCCCTTGTGACTCGTTGGCGTGGGTTTGACGGCCATCTTTGTCAGCTGACCAGTCTGCCTCAGTTTGATTGGAGAGTCAGTTCATGTTGCCTTTGTTCATCCCCTGAGCGGACGCTAGTTTGACGAAGTCTGTGTATGTGAATGTGTGTCGATAACATCACGTCTCATTTCTTCAAGTTTTTGTAGACATTGTCGCAAAAAGATTTTCCAAAAGGATTTGTATCCAGTGGTTTCATGTGAACTACACGATAGACCTTCACGATATTAATTCAGGAGATTGTTTCACCCTTTATTGTGCAACACGTGTTTGGTACCCTCAGTGACTTTCTATTTCGGTGGTTAAGGTATACGATATAAAGACCTTCTGTGTGGTGTTCCTCGCTGCTTATCCACAACTGACGTCATAGAACCTTCTGCTGCTCACCCACAACTGACGTCACATAACCTCGTGGTTTCATCAAAGCCCCCAAGTTCAAGAACTCCGGGAGAGAGCACGAGAGTATCCAGCACTGACAGCGACTACTAAAACGTGAGTGTCATTGATGAATAGTTCTTGTAGATTATTATCTGCAAAGTTAACGCCGGTTGGTGGAAACTCTCCTCTTCTTCTTCTTCTTCTTTTTGTTCTTCTTCTTGTTCTTCTTCTTGTTTTTCTTCTTCTTCTTCTTCTTCTTCTTCTTCTTCTTCTTCTTCTTCTTCTTCTTCTTCTTCTTCTTCTTCTTCTTCTTCTTCTTCTTCTTCTTCTTCTTCTTCTTCTTCTTCTTCTTCTTCTTCTTCTTCTTCTTCTTCTTCTTCTTCTTCTTCTTCTTCTCCCCCACCCCCCTCTGTCTCAAAATAATATCTATGTGTCTCTCTTTCTTTTCCCTCCTACCTCCCCCCCTTTCTCTCTCTCTCTCTCTCTCTCTCTCTCTCTCTCTCTCTCTCTCTCTCTCTTACTCTCTCTCTCTCTCTTACTCTCTTTATCTCTTTCTCTCTCTCGTGTCATTTTTTAAATTTCGATTTAATAAGCGTTTAAGGACACGTGCAACACAGCAAGGTTATATAAACCGAAGATTAGAGGTATTACAAAAGAGTAACATGGACAACACAATGAATGAGGATAGATAATATACACGTACAAATCTGATTAGGACAATATATTATGTTTGAGAGAAAAGAAGGAACAAACCACACCGAAGCACCAGCCAACGAACCGCTCACTATTTTTTTTACTTCTATACAAAGAAATGGGCAGTTGAGGGTAGTGGTATTGGGAAAGGGGAGGGGGTAGGAGGTATTGGAGGCTTGTGGTAACGTTTCTTTGCTGTGATCTAGGGCACCCGAGGTGAGTGTAGACTGCAGTTATATAACGCTGAAGCTTTCAGTAAAACTGTCGCCTCAACTGTCCACTCTTTGGTCAGCAGCTGAGACGCTGTATATTTTCCCACCATGATACATTTACATGTATCAACTACTTTATCATCCTGTTCCCCTCTGTATAATAAAGAAAAGCAAATACTAAAGTGCTTCCAAGCCAACTACATTATGTTCTTTATAGTTAATTTTTTACTGCCTTCATTCTGCCAAGCTTTTACCCGTAATTTTGTATCAATTTGTCTTAATTATAATAATATAGCTGAGGAGTAAATTGTTCAGGACCTAGAATTAATCAGTTGTATCTTTATCTTTGTTAAAAACTATTTATTGAGTAAAAAGAATGTGATGACTTACAATGTGACACGTATCATGTCGTCATACTGTATATTTTAAAGGTACAAGAGGGAGTGAATTGTTTTCTCTTTCTGTATTGCTCCTTGCTTGTGTGTAATATTTGGGCTTTGGGAATATGCAATGATCATGTATTTAAAATTGATTGTTACTGGATTGAACCAACGGGAGGAGAAAATAAACTATAAAATGTTCCAGAAATGCCCAGTAAATATGTTAACTTTTAACTTCTGGACCAGCAAAAAAAAACAAAAAACACGCGTGCCTTCGGAAAGTGCCATTTCATATCAATATTATAATTATGACGTTGAAAAAAATAGACTTGTGCTCGAAATGACAAGTCCAGATTGTCATGTTTAAATCTCATGGAAACCATTCCGTTCTGAAATCGTAAGCTTAAGACTGTCGAAAGGTCCATTATTTTTTTTATTTTTTGGAGGGAGGGGGTGGTGGGGGTTGGAGCAAAAACGGGGGTTTGCGAATGTTGTAAGTTTAAATCTACCAAGTGTATCAGACAAGAAAGACATAGCAGTGTAAGGGTGAAATAGAAAAAATGTGTAAACTGAGAGCCGAGGAGAAAACAAAACGACGTGTCAGCTGACAAAGATGGCCGTCAAACCCACGCCAACGAATCACACGGGCTGAGCTCGCTTCCTGTTTTGATATTATTGAACAAAGGATTTGAGATCTAAACGTCATGTGACAGCTCTCGTCTGGAGGGATGACCAGTCCGCTCGCTGTTGTCACTCATCTCACTAGGTTTGTGTATGGCACAGTTTCGTACCTTTGTAGGGGGAGGTTGAGGGCGGGGATTATGACAGTATACACGCCTCCCTAACCAGGAGTTGAAATTTTGCTACCAACTGATGAAATTGGGTAAACAGTGGGAGGGACTAAGCACCATAATAGTTTCATATCGTCCACAGCCTATGGGGCCGATACAATACGATTAATGATGACGCCTCGGGAGATGAAAGATCTGCGCTGCCATATTAGTTTTATTTTGGGTTTTTTACCAGTCAGTTGATAGAGTTTTGATATAGCGGCCGTTTTGGACAGTTCATTGTAGGCAATGTCATTTATCCAAAAAAATATTCTTGCTAGTACTATTGCAATGGCAGAAGACCGTTTTAAAAAAATGAACCGAATCTTGAAAAATATAAACATCTCAATGACCACCAACATGAAAGTTCTAAAATGCTACTTATGATCAACCCTTCTATATTATGACTGTAAATGCTGTATAATCACCAAAAACAGTGAAAATATAATAGAAGCAATATGCATGTGGTTTCTTGGGAAACTGCTAAAAATTTAGAGGGAGAAAAATAAATCCAATGTTGTTGTACTTAAGAAAGCCCGCTTGGGCTGCTTGCACAAATTAATGAAGTTTCTCGAACACATGAATAGACATGAAGGCCTTGAGCATCTAGTTATGCCACACTACAGGCGCCGTTATTGGACGCTTTGTACACAATATTATACAAGTTGTAACAAAGGGCAAGCCAGTTCTACTCCCTACCAGTTCTTATCAATTAACTAATACAATGTATTCACATTTTCTTCTTTTTTTATATTTCTGTCACCATAGGTCAGGAATCGTCCAAACACCGCCCCAAAGTTCCACCATGTCACAAAACATGACGACCTCACCGCTGAAGCAAAACCACTTCATAGTTCAACTGACGCCACCCGTACCATGGATCAATCCTGCTGGCTGGTCAGCTCACTCCGTCCCCGTCCCTTCATTCAGCGACATTGGTCACCAGCTGGCAGAAAACATGGCTCCAGAACCAGCAGACTGCCAGCC